GAGGTGGAGGGGGGTGTGGGTTATGCTGATCAATGTGGGCTTTGGAGGGTAGTTGCTATCCTGGGAGGTAACTTGTCGTGTATTGTCTGGCCAAACAATGTGACTAATCAAGTAAAAGATTGCTAATTCACGCTCTCAAATTTACTGCTTCAGCTGACTAGATTTAAGTGGCCAGAGGTTCTTCGCTTCTGCCTTGAATGGAACAAGTAACTTGCCAGCAAGTTTGTTTGAATATTTTTGGTGTTGATAGGTCTAGCTTGGCAAGTGAATTAAGTGAATTGATGCTTTTAGTGCAAATTGCATTGGTGTACCCATTGGTTTTTATGATTTACAATTTACACTAACATTGTTGCATAAACAGCAATTGTTGTCCAACACTGCTGAAAAGTCACTAGTTGATGCTATTGAAGCGCGAAGGCATGGTGACACACTCTATTTCTGGGCTCGTATGGATGTGGACCCAAGGAACCCGCTTAGACAAGATTTCTGGTCATTTTGTGATGCTCTTAACGCTGGAAATTGCCAGTAAGGCTCCCTACATTTATTAAATTTACTGTCATGATTCGCAACATCCTTGCTTCAAATAAACACTTCCTATGTTTGATATCTGTTCGTAATGTATTACCTAATGTCTTTCACGTGATCTATTGAAGGTTTGCTTTCTCTGAGGCGCTAAAAAAGATGTACGGCTTAAAACAGAATTTGAGCTCTCTTCCTCCCATGCCTATGGATGGAGACACATGGTCTGTCATGCACTCCTGGGCCTTGCCTACCAAGTCTTTCCTAGAGTTTGTTATGTTTTCAAGGTTTGAATGCTTTTTCTTAGTTGAATCCTGAGATTGAGGTCCTGGTTTATTTTCCTTGGTGAAAGTTCTGTTAAGATGTCATCTTTCTTCGCAGGATGTTTGTTGATGCACTCGACTCACAATTTTACGAAGATCACCATCGAAGTGGCCGATGTTATCTGAGTTTGACCAAGGTAGTGATCCTAATTTGGAAGGCAAACAACATTAAAATGTGAACAAAATGCATCTTTACCATGTTTAATTCATGCATTTGCACGTGCTATGGAATTTGCTCACTAACCTCCTGCTTCTGAGACCTGGTTGTTAAACAACTAGCAGAATGAGCAAAAGGAGGGAGTTATATGAAGTCTTTAGAAAATAGAGAAGTATTGAAATATATAACTCTCAAAATACAAATTCTATATTTTACTGGATTTGGTATATAAAAGAGGGGAGGAGGAGAATGAAAAAGGTAGAGGGATATTCCCTTGTACGAGCCACGTTATTATGCAGATTACTGCATTGATAACCTCGCCCCCCCCAGCTCCATCACACTGCTCCCCGAGCCACCCAAAACAACATTAACAAACTCGGTGTAATCCCATAAATGGGGTCTGGGGAGGATAGTGTGCACGCAGACCTTACCCCTACCTTATAGAGATAGAGATGTTGTTTCTCATAGACCCTCGGCTCAAGGAATAGTGGAGGAGCCACCCAAAAAAAAAGGAAGAAAAAAACTCGGTGCGCAGAAGAAAATAATATTATTGTTGACATTGTTATGGACTTAGCTTTTAACCATCAAATTTTTCTGACATATTTTTCAGGACAAACATTGTTATTCTAGAGTCCTTGAGATGCTTGTAAATGTTTGGGCATACCATAGTGCAAGAAGAATGATGTACGTGGATCCACAGACGGGCTTAATGCAAGAACAACATAGACTAAAAAGCCGTAAAGGCAAAATGTGGGTGAAATGGTTTCAACTTAACACTCTTAAGAGCATGGACGAGGAGCTGGCTGAGGAGATGGATACCGACCACCCAAAAAGAAGGTGGTTGTGGCCGTCAACTGGTGAAGTGTTTTGGCTAGGTATCTATGAGAAAGAGAGAAATTTGAGAAACAAAGAGAAGGAGAAAAGGAGGCAACAAAGTAAGGATAAAATCTTGAGGATTAAGAAACGAACTCATCAAAAAGCATTAGGAAAATATGTCAAGCCTCCACCTGAGGAGTTGGAACATCCGAACACAACGACGACAACAGCAACAGTTATGAGGTAGCACTAGCCTACAGTAGTCTGTCCAAAGTTAAGTAGTCTAATTTGGTTAATATTATTTTTTCAATATCCCCACCATTTTTTCATTTTTGTTCAGAGGGATGCTATAGGTTTATGTTGTGTATGAGAGGATATTGAGCATAGATGCATCCTTCTGATATTGTTGCCAAGCATGTGCATGTATGTTAGTGTTTCTTTTCTCCATTTTTTCTTTTTTCTTTTGAAAATTCTCTTATTCTTTTTTTCCATCACTAATTTTCTCTCCAAGATTCTCTCTTTATTTATTCATATAGGAGACACAGAGGGATGGATTTGTAAGCTAACAGTTACACGCTGAGCTTCAGCGATTGTATGTGTTGTAACTTAAGAAAATTTTCTATACCTTTGTGCTAAGATTAGTTGCTTTGATGCAAACTAAGTTGTCACTGAGTTAAGCCGAACATTCACAAAAGTCGCATCTGATTTGTGAAGGGAAGGCCATTCAAATCATATTTTGTTGCTATCGCTTGCCTTACTCTTCTTTTAATGTTGAAGATAATGAGTTTAAGTTCTATGCATTACCAAAGCTAAAAAGATATTTACACTATCAAATAATTTATTAGGCAATTACTACTAACTCTCTTGATATGCATTAATTGGTAAATTGAGAACTTCAGCATCTAACATGTTATCGCAGGTTAAAGTGAAAAGATAACTGATGTTACCAAGGGTAAAAGATTTAACTTAAATCCAAAGACAATAACCGCTCTAAAGCGTACCGAGCGTCAAATGTCTGCTGTTGCATTTTGCAACATAAACTTTATGCGCTTTTTGCAACATAAAGCGTACCGAGCGTCAAATGTTTATGCATTTTGCAGCATAAACTTTTAACATTAAAAGCGTAGCCTTTAGAATCATGATCGTCCTTGGGATGGAGTATTTATGTTTTTTTTCTTGTCCTTCAAAACCAAGAGGCAGCTTTAGTCCGATTTATAACAGCCAGATTAGTCTGTTCTGAGCACAAATTGTGGCAAAGGAAAGAGGGCCAAATTGAAGGTTGATAACATCTCCTTACACTTAAAAGGAAGCACAGATTATAGTTCTGTGGGAATACCTTAGAATAGCGCTATTGGATGTTTAATTAAGATTTACACACTGGGGCTTCTATAGATCCTAAACTGACCAAAATTGAACGAGATTCCTATCATTGAGGAACACAGATAACAATCCAGCGGGTACAAAATTGAGACTCTGACTGATACTTCAGCATTTTCAATTCTGCAACAATGCAGTGAGATCTGGTAGTCTTAGCGGTGATGGCCAAGCGTTGGCAATTCGAACCACCATCCAAGGTCTTGGAAATTCCATTGTTGACTGCTCGAAACACATACTCAATATCTTGGAGCTGCAAACAACGATGCAATAAGAATCCAATGAGAAACCAATTCAGGTGGAAGAAGATTCTTTTCCCTTGATATTTTGAGTAGAAGGTTTGTGCAACTAAAACAAGAGTATAGGCTTTACCTCCACCTATTGTTGCTTCAGGCAACCTCTCAATGGAATATTTGTGTTGAGTAATGTACATGATTGGTACACCAGGGACCTGACCATCCAACAGTTAACCGTATAAGTAAATAGTTAGCAGTAGAAAAGATGAGGAGTAGGGAAAAGAACAGGGATACCAGCTTAATATGTCATACCTTGCGTATTCTACGCTTCAAATCTCGATCACATGTTGCAACAATATAGCACTTGTGCTGTAGAGGAACAAAACCATCCACACACTTAGTAGAGATCACAAGCAAATTGGCTTCAACACGACCACATAACTAATACATTCAGAGAACATTTATACATGATGGATTAAGATCATACCTGAGTAACTCTCTCGACAATACAATCATCAGCATATGTTCCTTTGTGAGTGCAGGGAAGCCTTTCAAACCGGGGATCTTTTGCAATTCTATTCACAAAAAAATAAAAAGAGAAGAGAATAAGAGCATTATTATCATAGGGACAACAACTGAAGGCCTCTCTTTTTGCCACAAATTTACTGATGCTGAAAGAGAATTTTCATAACAATATAAAATAATAAAAACAAAAGGAAAAACCAGATATATTCTTTCCAACAAAACTTCCAAAAGAATATAGAAATATAAATCAAACAGTACCATCTAAAATCACCCATGCTGGTTCCATCAATGCTCCTAACAACATAGAATTTACTGACTCAATTTACAACCATGTTATCCCGCTGTTTCTATTAAAAACAGACTCTAGAAGGTAGAATAATTTGCACTCATGACATGGCTGGCTAGCCTAGAAAGCTTAAAAAGAAAAATAAAGAAAAACGCACAGATAGAGACAAAACTAGTCTATTGTTCATTTTTTCCCGATTTTAGAAGTTTTTTAGTGTTTACAATAGGTCATTAATGTCAAGGTGTTCTTTTAATCATCATGAACGAGTTCCCAATTCATATTTCAAGCATAGTTCAAAACTCTGCGTAAAAGGTAACCGTCAAATTAAACATGCTAGGCTAAGATATCAAAAATGCTGAATAGGTTTGAGCTGTAACACTTTATATCCAAGATGTGCTTCACATGAATGTCGTCCATTTTCCTTCATTTTAACAAGTGAAATAGAATTCATCTCACCCAAAAAAAACAGTTAAACGACAATATGAAACAGGAAAATACCTCAGAGCAACACGGTATTTCTGACCCAGCTTCTCCAGCTCAGCCATAACACAGTCTGTTATACAAGGCGTACCTGCGTTCGGAAAACATATTCAAAGAAACATGTAAAATCACCGTAAAAGTTAATATAAAGCTGCACAGCTTTGGGATATACCAGTGAACTAAGATAGGTTGTAGTTCGACGCACATGCTTCACGAAAAATGTAACTGCACACACTAAGCAAACTGCCACACTTCGAAACACACTTATTGATCATATTCATTGGCTAATCGCTATTTGATTTCAAAATTTGTCTTGAAATTATATTATATCATCCTATCCCTGAAAACAAGTGCATAAATTTACTTTTGTTACTTTGATCACAAAAGTATCCTACAGAGGGAAGACTATGATCATGAATACAAGGCCGCCAAGAGAAACCGTTTAGGATAGAGGGAACTTACATTTGGCATACAAACAATCCATCATTCCTTTCTCCAAATCCAACTAAAACATAAGAGATCAGCTCGATCAGTTACAGCAATCAGAATTAACATATATCAAGGCAAATGAATTCATTAGACAAAGATAGAACAAAAACTGTATATGACCCACATTATTTGCTAATAAGCACTATCATCTAACTGAAAATTAAGGGAGGGGAGGGCAACGAAAAACAAGAGAAGAGAACGTTTTCTGCTCTTTCTCATTCTAGGTGGGGAGTTGTACGAACGTTCTCCAATTAGATGATGGTTGTTACTAGCGAAGTCTTACTAACACCACAGAAAGCTAAGCTAGAACTTCCATCACTTGTATAATTTGAATATAAAAAACTTTCTGATACTCAATTGAATACTGGCTGTCAAGCATAGGCAGGTCAATAAAACGAGATAAAATAGGTTTAAACAATAATGAGTGAAAAACTGTAAAAGCCGAGATAATCTATATCATGCTCCCTTTTTCACCATAACTTCACTTTTCTATAGCCAAAATGACACCAACTCTGAGCAGCATTAATAAATACATTTTATTTACCAAAGCCAAAAATGGTCACTCACTTTATTCTGAATGGAGAAATTGATAAAGTTAGTATCGACTAGAACTCGATAAGGCGGTCCCAAAGCTGTGTTGTACTTGAAGAAAAGCGCAGACGAAACGTAAGGCCTGAAATCAATACAAAGTTCTGTGCTTTAATTTCTTATGAAGAATTTCTTTTGTCAAGTAATTTCTTTAGGTCAGAATTAGAAACTTACACGTTCTTGGGGAGCTTCTCTTTAGTCAAATCTTTCTTATTAGGGTTCAAAACGTCCTCTTTGTACCTGAAACGGAACACCAATGAAATTCAATATTGAAAATCAAATACACAAGAAAGTAGACGGGCTTGTGAAGAAAATCAAAAGAGGGAATCAATAACTCACTGTTTGATAGCTTTGTGAGTAACCATTTTTTTCATCACTGCGAATTTGGGGGCTTTCTTCGCTTTTCCCATTTTTGGTTCTCCAACTGTGATCGAGCAAGGGCTTCTTGCTGGAAACGTAGTACGCTTTCTGAAAACCCTAACACTTATTTGGAGCGGGTCAAGGGTTTTAGGTAGTTCGGACGGGTTCTAGTCGGCGTAGTTTGGACCCAACACCTAAGGCCCAAAGCCAGTATTTGTGCGTGGAAATGACATCAGATGACCACTTAAGCATGTTGTTTAAAATGAATCCACAGTTTACAATATATTTAAAGATTAGCTAATTTCGCTTAAATTTTACGATACGGTATCCTAGAGTTTAAACCTCAAAATTCAAACTTCAGGACTCGTATCCTACAGTTCGAAAATTGTATCCAAAAGTTTGAATCTTATGTACTGAATTTTAAATTAGTAGTTCAGAAATTCAGGACACTCGGTCCTTAATTTCAAATTAACAGCTCAAAATTCAGGACACTAAGTTCTGAATTTTTAAATTCAGGACACTTATTCCTAAATGTTGGGTAAATTGGTTAATCTTTAAATACATTTAAAATTGTGATTATATTTTAAATTGCAAGCTTAAAGTGGATATTTCTGCACTTCGCCTTATTTATGCTCACTCGGATATTCATCTGCTTTATTGTGTTGCTATTTGGATTTAGGCATTTAAAATCAAGTTACACATCAAAATTAATTTTATATATATATATATATATATATACATACATTTTATCGGCTATTATTTTTGGGAGCGATTATATTCTGTAGTTTTCCCTTGACATAAAATTGACATTTAAAATAAGAAAAGAAAGTATGACTCGTAATTTTTATTGTATTGGGGAAGTTATTCAGGTATCGCCAATCCTAACTTGTTTGGAATTGAGGGATAATTATTGTTATTATATTTAGGTGGAAATTGGAGAAGAAGAGCACCTTCTATTCCGTTACACCGTAGTCGTAAGGAGTACTATATAATCATTCCTTTAGATTGCCTTTTGTTTTATTCCAACTTTGGACATTTTTTCTAAAAAGATTACGAAATAACACTTATACGAGCTCCATTGTATGCCCTAAATCTATAAACCAACCTCCAAGTCCAGCCATCCAGGAGACAATATTCAATAGTTACGAAATAATTTAAATAAGTAATAATCAGAAAACCCTATTTTTATGTGTTACGGTCTAGTGCACAATATAAAAAGTTTATTTACGTGACTTATGGTCTAACACCCATTACATGTGTAAACCCCATCTACTTTTATTTTGTGATAAAGTAATTGATTGAAATTTTGAATTTACCTATATGGACATTATATCTAAAGATAAGAACAGAAAGAAATGTTTTAATTGTAAGTGTTGAACCAAAAAAAGGACTAACGCAAAACGATATCAAGCTCTCATAAACAGACTAATTAATGGTAGTGAATAAGTTAATTATCTTTAGAACTTCGGTAGCGTTTAGTTATTTGCTTTCAGTTTTCTATTGTCTAGCAGTCAATAATGAACTGAACAACTTCCACGCAACGTAGAAGCACAAAATAACAGTAACAAGGCTTCAATTTTGTCTACAATGGTACAATGGATTCAACTCTTCCCTATAAAAAGCATGTAGCTTTGCTGTGTTCCAGCAAGAACAAACTTCAGATCACATTGAAATCAAATTAAAACATGGCAATCAAGACTTCATTTTTGCTAGCTTATGTCCCAATATTGTTGATTTTAGCACTAGTGGCAAGGTCTGAAGCAGGAGGAATTGCTATCTACTGGGGACAGAATGGCAACGAAGGAACTCTAGCCGAGACTTGTGCTACAGGGAACTACAATTTCGTGAACATAGCATTTCTTTCATCGTTTGGCAGTGGTCGAAACGCAATGATCAATCTAGCTGGCCATTGCGATCCATACACTCCAAATGGATGCGTTAACGTGAGTTCTGACATAAAATCTTGTCAATCCAAAGGAATTAAAGTTATGTTATCGATCGGGGGAGGGGCAGGAGCATACTCAATTGCCTCATCTGCTGATGCTTATCAAGTTGCTACATATCTCTGGAACAACTTCTTGGGTGGAAAATCGACCTCTCGCCCACTTGGCGTCGCGATTTTGGATGGAATTGACTTTGATTTAGAGAGCGGAGAAGGACCATATTGGGGTGATCTTGCTAAATATCTAGCAAGATATAGCAAGATGGGTAAAAAAGTGTATTTAACTGCAGCACCACAATGTCCATTTCCTGATGCTTGTGTTGGAGGGGCATTAAAAACAGGTCTTTTTGACTATGTTTGGGTACAATTCTATAACAATCCTCCATGTCAGTATAATTCAGGAAATTTTACTAGCTTTCAAGATTCATGGAACCAGTGGATTTCATCAATTCCTGCTAAGAAAATATTTCTTGGATTGCCTGCTGCTTCTGATGCAGCTGGAAGTGGGTTTATTCCAGTCAGTGATTTAATTTCTCAAGTTCTTCCAGCCATAAAGGGGTCTGGTAAATATGGAGGGGTTATGCTATGGTCCAAGTATTATGATGATCAAACTGGTTATAGTTCTTCTATTAAAAGCCATGTCTAAAGATTTGTATCTTTATATATGTATTAAATATGTGAAATAATATTATTTAGTTTTCAATATTTGATTGGTAGTCCTACCCTCTTTTCGTTTTAGTATTAATGACCAAAAATTCCACAAGAAAATAAAGTAATTATATTATGTTGTTCCAAGAAGATAGCTACAATGCAGCATTCAAAATGTGTGACTTATCGGTCACAGATGGATTGGGAGACTGTGGTTCAAATCTCAATTAAGATAATAAAAATTTAGGTAAATTTATTTTGTGTATTTAAATCTTACCAAATTAAATAACCTAATAATTTACTCGTAATAACAGGTGTTCAATGCAGCATTTGTCGAGGTGTGCACCTCTAGTACTACCACCGTTATTAATAAAAATATCAGCCATGAAGCATCTTCAGATTTGTAAAGAATTTATTACTGAAAGCAATTTGCGAAACACATAAAACCCCACAATAATTTAGAAAAAGAAAAGGAAGGAAAGAAAGAATGTTATCTTGCAAATGCAAGGTCTAATTGGACTACTGACTTATCTTTTTCCTACCCAAGTTTTTCCACTTAGACAGAGGCCTGCTCTTCTAGTGAGGAAGAGGCCATGAATTCATATATATACCTATAAATATGCCCTGCATTTATAAGGAAAAAGAAGATGAAAGAAATAAGAATATAGCTAATACATGTATTTTAGGATGAATATGTCATGCTTTTTTATTCAAACCCCCATTGCAATAAGGAAATTGACGTTCTTTAATGGAGTAATAATAATTCAATGATCAAACTTTTTCTTAACTTCAATTTCAAGCAAGTTTTTGTTCAATATTTATAATCTAAACGTCTGAAGTCTGTATTTGTTAAACTAGATTACGATTGCCCGTGTTACCACGGGAACGGCTCCTACAGTGATAGCATAATTAAATTTCGCATTATTACCAAAAAAATTAATTATAATAGTTGCAATACATGAACTCAATTGCTGAATGTAAAACTATATGCAACACACAGAATATGTCATATTTGGTTGTATACCGTACATAAAAAATATTCAAAAAAGCTAAATGACATAAAAAGACATAGCATATTACTAATTCAAAGCAAAAAAACTACAATGCTTAAAAGACATGTCATGAAACGTTAATGGAACTCATCACTCCACAAGTATACAAAACCAGATTGCTCTGTCATTTCTAATGTTGCTACCATCCTGGCCATTAAAGCAACTTTTTGCCTTCCTTTCGCACTGCAAAGTCACATAGTTAACTCTATTATCATTGAGATGTAGAAAGTTTCTATCATGAGTGAATGAGATGATAAGAAACTTTTATTAGTAGCTATCATATTGGCTAAAATAAATTCCAAATGCCTCCAAGCAGCATCACCAACATAACGATGATATGTGCATATGGCTCGAGGGACTTGCACTACTTGTCCTTCTGGATAAGCTAGATATCCATCCATATATTCTCCATTGCTGGCACAATCTAGCAAGGGCCAAATTCACATAATCTAGTTAACTCTCATTGTTTTTTCAATCTCAATCATACTTCGTAATAACTTTTTGCAAGAGAGAGAGATTAATCAGCTTCGTGATATATGAAGCAACCTTGAAGTAGATACTCATTCTCATCTTTCATATTCGATTTCTTTATTCTAAATTTTTTCATGCCTTCCTATATGTAAAAAAGGAAAAACGAAACTGTAATTTTCTGCTTGTGTATTTGATGAATGAAGAAAAAACTTGTTCTTATCAAGTGTACAATCCTAAACTTATATACAGAAGAAAAGCTTTAGGGTAACCTCCTGCATTGGCAAGTGGCCAAGTTGTACATTAAAGGAATACAAAGATGGAACAAATAATTAAATAAAAAAAGTATGGGAAAACTACCTAAAATATAGTGTAGCATGTGCTGTACACTAAATTGTGTATTCTGAACAAGGCAGTGGCACAAGTGGGCCGGTTGAGCAGGCCTAATTGTGTAGACCACAGTTAGGCCCAAAAATATTAAACCCGTCCAAATGCCAATTAGGCCCAATGCCCCTCAACCCGTCCAAATTCCTCAAATCCGTCCAACATACCAAACACCACTCAAATCAAAACTTTCTGCCTCAAACCCTCAAACCCTTCGAGAACTTTTGATTCCAACACCCCCTTCAAGCTGGAGGGGGTAGACGACACACCCAGCTTGCCCAAATGATCACGATGAAGAGGTCCGGCCAGTGGTTTGGTGAAGAGATCTGCTAACTGGGCAGAAGATCTAACAAAGGTTAACGAAATCAACCCAGCTAGGTATTGGTCGCGTACAAAATGACAATCGATTTCAACGTGCTTCGTCCGTTCGTGAAACACAGGTTTTTTTGCTATATGAATTGCTGCTTGGCTATCGGAGTAAAGAGGGACTGGAAGAGAGATAGGAATTGACAAATCCTCAAAAAGACGGACCAACCAAGTGAGCTCTGCAACTACTCGCCGCATAGATCTGTATTCTGCTTCGGCGGAACTGAGCGAGATGGAAGTTTGCTTCTTTGACTTCCAAGAGATCGGAGAGGTACCAAGAGAAATATAAAAACCACTGACCGACTTCCTCGAATCCGGGCAAGTGGCCCAATCGGAGTCACAAAAAGCTAGGAGCTTGAAGGAGGAGGAAGCAGACATAAAAAGCCCTAGCCCAGGATCTTTGA